GCACTGTATACTCAGTGCTTGCCCGAGAACTTGCGAAAAAACCTCACAAGCAGAAAATTATCAAGATGTATTTTTTGCGTTGGGGAGATGTTAATTATATATAACGGGTTTGCCCTTACCCAACGTATATTTATAAGCACTGTATACTCAGTGCTTGCCCGAGAACTTGCGAAAAAACCTCACAAGCTTACTCGGGTGGGACTCGAACCCACGACCACGTTATATATAATTAGCAGAAAATTTGATTACGTGTAAATGTAATTGGCACTATATACCATCAATTATATTCTCAGACATCTGGAGTGATTCAGAAACTAGCAAATGAACCCTGAAGATTACTCTCTTTTGGAATTACCGTCTACCTTGAACCAAAGTAATCTACAGCTGGTGTGATAACTTCTGTTGGTTTGCGGAACCAGTACACAAGGCACTCTGCAGCATAGTCTTCCACTTCCTTGATGCCAACAATTTTGCCTCCCTCGCGCAATTCTTGCAAGAGATCAGCGGTGTCTATTGAAATAGAAAGTTCATACGTGTGGTAAATGGCACATATATCTGTCCTCCAGCAAAGTGTTAAACATTGAGGCAAATAAGAATACAAAATTCATATTTGGAAAATACGATAAGTGAAATTATTTCAGGAAAGGGAATTTTTCCTACGTGTAGGAGTACGTAAATTGCTACCAGTCAGATGAAAAGGGCCCTCATTGGAACTATCCTTATGTCATCTTTGATCATGAAGCTGATATGATTATTAACTTAGTGAAAGTGTCAAAAAGCTTGGATTTGAAAGTTAAAGCTGAAAAGTCCAATACAACTATCCAATCCATGTAACAGTCAATGGGCTGATTATTTCTAGGGTGTCATGAATTTTTTTGAAGTGGCCACATGTATAGTTGCCATAACCGTAACAGGATTTACAAATGTTACAGTTATGGCACTGCACAAATATTATTTCCAATCTACATAGGGTTTCAATTTCTGCCCCTCATCATGGTATTGCGATAGTCCATTGAGAGCACAGGCTGTTCAGCGAGCTTGTCGTGTGGAGTTTGAGGTTCACTCTGTGCGTCAGTTTTTTTTTTTCTCCTTCCTTCATTTCTTTATTTTTCAATCAGATCATATGTTTACTTCCTACATGTTTTACTTTGACTTTGGGCAGATTCATATTCATGGTGGATTTTTAAAGGGAAATTAAGGCTGTTATCCAATACTCAACGTAGGCTCCGTCTGTTTTTTTTACTACCTGACTTTGAAGCTGTAAGCCCACTAATTAGTCTAATAGTGCCACAAAACACCAAATAAGATGCAAGAGAGCAAAAACTTACAGTAATCCAATTTGATTTAAACGCTTCAGGCCCACAATCGGGGATCGGTTTCGGGGACGAAGCCTGAGACGGAGACAAAGTTGAGTATTGGGAAACGGCCAAAGTCTGAGATCTCTTTGTTATAGGCTGGTCTAGTTCCCATTTCCTAGGCACCAGACTGGTCACATTAAAAGTAAATAGCAACCTGTCTAAACTTCCCTGTTGCCACTGCATTTCCTTCAATCATACAATGAGTGGTTTCTTTTGACATTCTATCTGCTGATGTCCAGTTATATTCCCATTACATGTACACCTGGTGCCAAACTGTCCAAAAAATTGTTCTTCACACACAGTTTTTCAACAGGTGAGCTTCAAATTCTATGGCAAAAAGTACTGTGGTATTGTTTCTACAACTCCTTCCAATGCCCCCAATGCCATCCAGACACATTTTGACTTTCACACTGCATAGGACTTGGTCGTGGGGGGGGGGACTGGATGAATTTGGCTTACAGGACAACAGCCCTATTGAAACTGATTCTGGCTGTCAGAAACCTGAGTACCAGGTGACACTGGTTCACATGACCTCACCAACAACTTAGTTCATGCCATCATCAATCACAACAGTATACCCCTGTGTTAGGTGAACCACACAAAGTGAATGTTCAACATCCAGAAATAAATGGCACACTTCGATCCCTGCAGCGAACATGGAACGGTACACGTACATGTATGTTAAGAAGAATGATCCAATATACTAGGACACTGCTGTTACTTGTTGCTATACAATACACCTGTTGCAAAAATTAAAACAAAAAAAGACTTCTGAAATCCTAAAAGGAATTAAGGATTTTGACTTGCAAAGTCCTTAATAGTTATCATCATGCTGAATGAAAAACCATATCACAATCTTCTGCATTGGCAAATGAGAAGTGTCTTTGTAAGCGATGCTCACCAAGTGGTGTTCTGGCTTCTTATTTATATGAGATTCCTGGGCCATTCCTTGGTGAGGTATATGTGGGTGATAAAATAATCAACCCAAATAGGGGCATGGGGAGTAGTAAATTGGACCATGGAGGAAGGAAAACATGGGACCTTGTTGGTCCTGTGATGAACAGCTCCTAGTGATCCCTGGCCTTGCCAGTGGCCTTCCTTGAACTCTCTCTATTAGAAGGAATCCTGAATAAACATTCCTGTCCAGGCAGCAGGCCAGGCTGGAGGGTGGATGCTGGAATAAGATATGGAGGTCCCTCTGTGGCCTTTATGGACATGCTCTGGAAACCCCACTGCCCCTGTAAGAGATCCTGCATCCAAGGTCGGTGCTCTAGAAGCTAACCCAGCAGAGACACAATGGCAAAGTTCTCCCAGCAGAATCTGGATGTCATCGACATGAGACTAGTAGCTATGTATGCCTCCTGGTAGATGGTGTTCCCATCAATAGCCACTGAATCAAAATCTTCAGCCTGATCAGAACATGAACTACACGATGATTATATGATGATAACAGAATTTCTCGATAAAACTGATGCCATCATCATCTGTTAGTCCCACTAGTGTCAACATTGCCTTCTTCAGTGAAAGTGTTGGTAAACCACAATCATACTGAATCAGCTGGGCTGTGGATCAACTTACCATCCAATCTTAGAAATATGTTTTGGAAATTTTGTTCACTTATGTAAATTAAACCAGGAGGAATAGCAAAATGATCATAAGACCAACAAAGTCCGAGATCACTGATGCTCCTAGTTCAGATTGTGCAAGAAACCTATATGTCACTCATTTGGAAAACAGACTTCTGGGAGTAACAGAGCTTTGATGGTACAGCAATGAGTTTTGAGTGTTAGAGATTGACAAGTTCATGGTTCCTGATTCTTGGCTCCTGGCATCAGTCACCACTCTAGTCATATGGTAAATGTTTACAAATTTTGACTACAATCGTGAACAAGATCGAGAAGAATGTTACATGTAGCTTTGCATTTAAAGAGAAATATACTAAAATGTGCATTTAGGTTGAACTTTGGTTACACATTAAATTTTGCCAGCAGGAACCCCAAAGGTGTGGAATCAAGTTCAAACATGTTTACCAAGGCCTTGTATATGTAAAACAATATGAGGGCTCATAAAGATGAACAAAAGTATGCAAGAAATGTATGTGTGTGCACAAAAAGGTCTCACAATTGGAGTTCAAGTTCACTGAAAATTTTCAACACAAAGTTGAAGTACAAAAGCCCGAAGAACTAAAGTCCATATTATTTTTAAGCAGTTTTTATTCCAATTATATCACCTTTTAGCTCAGTACACTTGGTGCAATTACTTAGAAAGAATGACTCAACTACATCTTTATAGATTAGCGAATCTACACTATATAAATTTTTTTCAAAAAGGGGGCAAGTTTGCCACCAGGTACAGCTTGGCACAACAGCCAACCCGGAAAAAATACAGGCAAGGATATCGAAAACTTTATGTCAAACTTGGACATCCTGCCCAGAGAATATAATTGAGAATGGAAGACTCAATGACCATGTGGTTGGACAGGCATGAAAGAAATAAATTCAAAGACCCACCCAGGACTCCACAGGGATTATGGTTAATACCTTGGTAACCACAGAGGTGTGACATTTCAGACAGGTGTTGAACCACAGTTGGGCAGATGGTTTGAGAGAATGGAAGAAATAAAGTGCTTGGTATCATATTTTTTGTAAAGTGTTTTAGGCCTGATGACGAACAGGCTTCCTCATCATGCAGTTCATTACTGCACTGAAACTATCAAGCAGGCTTCTCAACTTTAAATGAAGATCCTACAAGGGAACAAACTGCCTAACAATGCAGCTGATAATTAAGCTGGAAAAATTGACAACTTTTTCAATTCAAGACATTTAACTGGTCCAAGTTTGATTCTGTATCTTATGACAACTAATAAAGACATGCTTTAATCAGACCAAAAATAATGACAAACTTTTATTAATACATCAGAATCAAAGTCTATGCTCAAGGCAAATTTATGTGACATGTTTCAAATGTACCTCTACTTGTACGATATAAATTTGTCACTGACACCACAAACTGACACTCACTTGGGTCAGGGTGCACTGCACTTATTCTCATTTACAGACCCTGGTCATTTCCTTTTTCAGAAACTGGCAGCCGGTACACTGCAGCACTTCTAGTGCACACTCTGTGCATTTTCATTTTCAAAACTTATACTGATCTTATTTGCACCAGTTAAGATAAATGTTTGTATATGGCAACATATTTACGGATGGATTAAATTCAATTCAAACCTTTCAAAGCACTTTTCTCCATACAGTATTGCTGCAGCATGATTTGGTGTCAGCTCATGAAAACAAAAATTAGGCTATTTTGCACTGGTGTCCAATGTGCACACACTATCGGTTGTTCGTTTGTGGAAGTTGTTGACAAAGCCATTTTCACTAACATCCACTGGAAGGTTTGAGTTCTCAGTGTCAGTGGCAGATAGTTCCCATTTAGTTATCTTTTTATACAGCCCTCAACCTTTCTCCAGGTTTCCAACTGTTAGTATTGTCTTCTTTACTTGTTATTGAAGTCGAGTTCAAAACAAGCCTAAATCAAATCCCAAGAACTCTATTTTCTAAACACAACTGCAATTATACATATGTATGTTCGATGTACATACATGCACCTTTTGAATCTACATTAACACTAAAAACAATTTTCATGGTGCACCTACAAAGATGTTGCTTTGGCAAACCTCTTAACAGACTATGCTTAGTGAATATCCTCAATTATTTCAAGGTTGTTTTCCCTATCATTGCAAAAGACTGAAATATCCACTGACATGCAATGACCACAAAACAGACACCTTTAACAACAGTTGCATATACATGTACAAAGCCTAATACTTTCTTGTGAAGGTAGACAGTGCTAAAACCAGAAAGTTGTTTAATTGGTCAGGATAATTTATGGCACTCTCTTGTGACAGAACTTGGCAAAAGAACAAATTACTTACACCAGGAGACCAAACAGCAAAACAGACAACACCCAATCCCAAAAGTGAAAAAAATGGGGGGGGGGGAGAAGGACTGCACCCCCTTGATATACTGGTAAGTTGATGGGTATAGACTAACTTGGGGGCAGAGTGTTATCGGTGAGTGGAAATCTGGTTCTTTATTCCATGTTTAAAAGAGTTGTGTATAACTGTAGAGTTTCTAACCTTCACCTTCGGGT